CCTGCTGAAGTGCAGCAGGGAATAACTTGTGAACAATAACAAAACAGCAATCAAGGCAAGCAGATTCCAGGCCAAAGCAAACCAGTTTCTTCTGGTAATGAAGATTTCTTTAAATTAAGTTTTTAAGGTTTAGCTATTCCCTGGATCTGAGCACTGGAGTGGTGCTAACCTCAGTATTGTAGCGATGCTGGGAAAGTAAGAGGGATGCAGCCAGCAGCCACCCAGAGCACAGCAAGGCATCCTCAGGTGAGAGGTTAGCAGCAGGTTCAGAGAGAGGGGACCGTGACCAGGTGCACTCCAAAACCTTTTGCAGGAGCTCGAGCAAAGGCACGTTGGAGAGCAGCACAGCCACTGCTGTGTGGGAGACACACAACCAGAGAGGTTAAGGGGATGGCACAGGTTAAACCAGCTTGACAAGCAAAGGAGAAGGGCAGAGCACACCCCTGCGGCAGTGAGGCAGCCCCAGCTCGTCGGAGTAAGGCTGTCCAGCTACACTGGTATTCATTTCACACAGCACAAGCGACTGCTCAGACACCTAATAAAATGACCAGCCTTCAGCTAACACAGCTGGAAGGTTGGTTAGAGCTGTTCTTTATTATTGTTAATTCTTTGAACCATGGCAATACCAGAACATTTCAAACAAGGCACCAAAGCCCCACTGCTGTGTTTTATGAATAAGAAAAATACAGTGCTTCTGTCTCTCAGCAGCCAATTCCTGAATCGTCAGAAGGCAGCAAAAACCAAACCAAACCAAAACCCTCAAGCTAAAAAACTTCATCCCAAATACAAAATGGTCTTTATTAACTTTAATGTTGTGTCTGGAAAGGGAAAAATCCACCTCACCTCTTGAGACAGTTAGAATACAGTCTCTGATTGCCAAGCTACAACCTCGCTAAGATTAATTTATCCATCAATACAATCTTGCCTCACCTCTCTGTTGACTACCAGGTGTTGTCTGATGAAGGCTCCAGTACAGAAAATTCAAGGATGGCTGCAGGAGGTCAGTGTCCCTTGGCCTGCATTTCCCACAGAGATTACTGACTGCAAACAAAAGAATGTGCATAACACGGACACCAACATAACAGAGCACCTCAGCAGAAGAAAATAGTTGGTCAGTGAGAATAGGGCTCGTAAAAAAGCCAAGCAACCTGAAGTGAAAATTAACAGAGCGTGGTACAGACAAAGCAACTGGCATCTGCCCTACAGTGTTTGCTTTAGACTGGATGGTACAGTGGAGGATGACAATGGCGAAGGAGGAATATAAAAGGGTATATTAAAGGGCATAGATCATATTGGGCTATAATGAATCCAAAAGCAATAGGCTATAAGTTACCTGTTCCCACAGAGTGAGTTTGATCCTAATATTAGGTCAACCATAAACAGCCATGTGCCTCTCACATGGTGACCGGACTGGGGAACGGGCACTGGGACAGAGAGCTGTGCTCCTCCACTCTTGCCAACCCTGCTCACACTAGAATAAATGCACCATGTTTGTTTTAAGCACCAAACACTTAGGAACAATATTTAGCACAAGTATGGGAAGGAAAGCCAGGACTGCAGGGCTCAGCAAAACTGTCATAGGAGATCTTTTGAGGGGCTTAAAGTCTGAGTAAGCAATTCTCAAAAAACACACATCAACACACCTTCCCACAACCACTCCATCTACAAGCTGATTCCACATAGGCATCATCAGAGGAGAGTGCCCTGCACACCCACCCCTGAAGAATACAGCCTGGGGAGCCAAGCAGGGCTGGAAGAGGGTGGCTGTGGCAGAGAGAAAGTTGTGCTACAGAACAGAGAGCACAAAGCAAGAGCAAAAGGAGTTTGTGACTCCTTTTGGAAGCAGCTGAGCTCTCTGAAATCACAGCAGCTAAAAAGGCTTGGTAAAAAGAGGACGTGGTTCTTCCACCCCCCCAATTCCCTTGGCTAATGAATGTCTGAAGAACACTGCTCCTTTACAAGGGCAAGACAGGCAGCCCTGAGACACATAATATTTCAAATTGAAGGGGATAAGGGGATAGTCCTTCAAAGCCTGCTGGAGAGATCCATTCATCAGAGCATGGAAGGGATGAGAGGATAGATCAGCTGAACTTCCACCTGGTATCTGTTCTTTTTTCACAACCTGCATGAACCTCCAATAAGCAAATGAGAAGGGAAAAGTAACCAAGTGAGGTTCACTAGACAAGACAGCAGGTCATGGTATGGTGAAGAAACAAACACAGCCTGCACTTCTGGGTCTCTGGGATGGAGTGGGCAAGTCCTGAAGCTGGTTGAGGCCCATATACTCTGGACCTGCACTCTAGGGCAAGCCCAGGTTCACAGGGCACCCCTGTGGCCTGCCTGAACCTCGCAGGAGTGTGTTAGCAAGTGTGGATGGAAAGGGAAGATTCAGAAAGCACATCAGCAGTACTGTCATGTGCCACGTCAGTAATAGTCACAGACTCTGAAATCGTCATGGCCAGGGGAATGCTTTTGCCACCTTGAGAGGTTCCAGACCACAAATGTATTGTAAAAGCAAGAGGAAGAGAACCTGGGTTTTGTTGACTGTCCTGGTAACAAGGGCTCTTTACAGTGCTCTGGCTATGAAAGTATTTCAAAGCAACCGTAACTGTAACACAAGCTATACCTGCTGCGAAAGGACAAAAGGCCAGCCCCATATCATCTTATGCAACAATTAACAAACACATATCAAAGACCCCTGGGAGAAGATGGATGCACAGACTCACCCTGGTGAAGCAGCTTGAAATCCGTGCTGCCCAGCTCCCTCACACCCTTGCTTCGCAGCTGCACCAGGAAAAGGAGGCTCAACAATACAGGCAGGTTCTTGTTAGCTGAGAAGAGTGCAGACAGCTTAGCTTGGCAGTGAACTCTAAACTTAAATATTATATGTATTGCTTCCAAAAAATGTTTTCACAAAGGCTCAAGAGATTTCAGTTTTGAGGAAGAAGCACTAATGAGTGTCTTTAATGGTAACATAGCCTTGACGGAGTCTCACTGTTGGGCTGCCTTCTTGTCTAAGCGCAGGTTACTGTTTCAACACGGATGCAGATTCCCTGGACTTACCTGCCCCAGACCTCCCAGAGAGCTGCCTGCATGCTGGGAGACAAGGAAGTCATTTCTCAAGAGTACATCTGGTGTTTGACTTTCTGATGGAGCTGCCAGGAACTCGGTTAACAAATCCAAGGTGCAGTATGAAGAGGAGCTGGGGATATCAGTGGCAGCAGAAGGGCTCTAATCTTGCAGAAGCCCCTCTAAGCCCAGTGTCCTCTCTCCATCACCAGTGGTTTGGAGGAATAGGTCTGCCTCCCACAATAGGAAATGGACAGTCTGCCTCCCCACAGCCCCTGGCACCCCATGATCAAGTCCACAAGTGTCTAAATGTGCAAAATTCCAAACAAGATGCCAGTACTGCCTTCTTTATCCATAACCCTATAGCCTCAAGCTCGACATGCTCCTGCTTTAAACCCCACCCTCTTCTCCAGCCTACTGACTTTGCTGGAGGTAAGGCAAAAATACTTTCCCCCTTGTTGCTTCTATCCCATCTGCATCATGGCAAAACACCCCAGAGAAGAGCTGTTAAAAGTGTCTGTGCCCCCCCGCAGGAAAAGGTGTGCTGGGCTCCTATCTTAGGGGAGCCAAGGACACCCTAGCACTGCTCCCTGTTTCAGTTCAAGCTGACAAGGTACTTTGCACAGCACCTTTCACAATGGGACAATAGTCCCAACTCCACAGCCAGGGCTAGTAAGGAAAACAGGGATTTCCCCCAATCACAACTCTGCTCTCTTTGAGAAATTTAATAGAATTATGGGATCTGCTGATGCCACAGTTGCTGTTTGGGGATCAATATCATGAATTATTCAGATGATCTCTGTTCCCTGAGTGTCCTCGGGCACACCAAGCTGTTTTGCACAGAGAAGAGGCAAAAAGGAGGGTGTCTTTCAGTCACCAGTTGAGCCCCTGTTCAAGCTGGAAGATTGACCAGCACAGCTCTCCACTTGAACACTTACAGAGAACCTTACCTTGGTTTAACAACCAAGTTTGAAGCCAGAACAACCTAAATTAGAAAAAGACTTTCTCAATTCAAAGTAAGGATCTCTGGAAAAGGAAACAAAATCAGTACAGTTCTGTCCAGAAATTTCCTCATGCGGATACATACAGAAGCTGTATCAGCACTTCAAAAACACTTTATCCCAGATTGTATCCCTTCATCTACCCTGCTAGTTGATCCTAAAGCAAGACCAAGTCTCAGAGGGTGGTCACCTTGTAAGGACGCTGAGCTGCTCTCTACCAGCAGCTGCTGCAGAATCTGTAGGAACTGACTTCGGAGGAGGTCACAGACAAGGACATGGTCATCGCTTTCCAGGAAGGTCTTTAGAGTCATCAACACCTTCCAAGCCACCTCCAGAGAGCTTGAGCAGACCAGGTCCTGCAAGGGAAGAAGCACACACATCACCCTTCTGCCCTGACTCAGTGGAACCCACTGCTATTTAATACCATGATGCTAATCTGGTGCCTTGGGAAACAGACTAATAAAGTACCGTTCAGATGAAGTATGTCCTGATTAAACAGAGAACTGAATAAAGCAGACAGACTCTCATCTGATAGGCACCTCTGAGTAATATCCTGTTTAAAGAATGCACTTGGCTATGTAACTCCCATCTAGCACACAAATGTTTGGGCAACATACATTTAAGAGCAAGATTTTAGACACATGGGATCCTAAAGCCAGGGCCCTATTTCCAAAAGCACAGAGCCTCTGGCACTTCTCCTCAAATTATTGTTTGGAAAACTAAGGTTGCATATGAAAGATGCTTACCTAAAATCAAACATAATTATGAGTCAGTCCATAGCTACTTATTTTCAAAAGACCAGCAGCCTTGTATCTGCAGTAGCAACATAACAGTTCAACTGCATAAAACATACAGGAACCATACAAGCAATCACTGAATCTCAGGAAATGGGAGTTGTGCACACAGCATTCAGCCCATGAGCCTGCTTCGTGGCTACAGACCTCTGGAGTCTCTGAGCTGAACCACACAGCCTTAACTTGTACACACGTTTGTTGTTAAGGTATTTAACATTAAATTCACTTGCACAGAATGTAGAGCTGTAGTTCCATAAGGATCAGGCAGAAAATGCTTGGTAGTGCTGACATAATATGATCATCTCAATATGCATTATGTCAGCACTACCTTGTCTCTCCTACCCCAGCAGTCCTAGCTACTGCATTGCAAATGGTACAGCTGAAAGAGGTAAACAGAAAACCAATCTCAGCAACCAAGCCTACAGCCTGCCAGGACAGCCTACTGCCTTCCTTATCACATAGTAGTCATGAATCCTGACTAGGACGATGGAGAGGAAATGGCTGTGGGACCCCATACCCAAGGAAAGCAGTTAAGGTAAGAACAGGCTGCCTGTGCCAGAAAAACTTACGTAGTTCTGAGCCTGATTCCTGCCATATCTGATACCTTCAGGAATAAGGGGCAGGGAGCTGTCTGTACAATCCGCTCCACTGACATAGATCTGCTCCATATGACATTCAGGAATGTAATCTAATGCCTGTCAGCCTATCTCCATTCTCTGAGAGAGCAGCTCAGATCTGAAGCATGGAGAAGACATGCTTCAGTGAAAACATGTGGAACACAGTGGAACAGTGTGTGATCATGATCACATTCACCCCCAGATGAACACACACAACACAAAATGGCACTAATCAAGGGCCACAGCCTTCCTGGTCCTGGTAAATGCATCACTGTGTTAACATATTCCTTCCTACTCAGGAGCTCAAGGTCTCAGATGAAGCCACGAACCATCTGTTCGATCTAGCCCAGACAATTCTTAAAAGCAGATAAGCAAATAAATCATCCCTGGAAGGACATTCATTTTTATTTCACTGTACCATGCAGAGACATTTCCATTTTACTAGTGCAATCTCAGACTGAGGTTATTCAGCTCCTAAGTTTTCTTTACACCTGACAGTATATTTATCCCAGGATATTGCACTGTTTTATTAGTCCATCTAAATTCAGATTGATTATGCTCTTCTCCAACTGAAAGGTGAAGTGTCAAAGCCCGTGATTTATTACAGCTCACTTCAACAATCAGGACAGAGCTAGATTAATTTATTTCTGCAAGAGCACACAGCAAGACAGACAAAGGGAAGCAGGAATACTGTTCCATTCAGGGAAGGAGCCACTGTTTTTCTTTTGTTTATTGATAGACCTGGGATGTACACACCACATTATGGAGTGCTAAGTTCCAGAACTATTGCCAAAGGCAAGTCCCATGGGACACTTCTCCTCCTGAATTTGATATGTCAACTCACTGATCATTTTGGCTAATGCTCTGCAATGGTATCGAATGCCTGGATGTTGCTACCTACTGTGCAATATCACGCTAAGTGTGAAAGAACTGCCCCATGCAAGAACCCTCCTGTCAGTCATTTCAGTAAGCTGGGATATTAAAATATACTTCATAGCCTCTTTGATCAGCACAAATACACGCCAGCCTGTAATGCCTGATGGGTGCCCACTCAGACTCAAACCTTGTTTCCTCGCTGTCTGCTGAAATGGGCTTCTATTCACAGTGATACATAGTTTTAATTTCTCTAACAGGCTGCAGAAGAAACATCACAGCTCCTTGCTTTTGCCCTTCCAGGCAAATCTCAAGTTCCTGTGTGGAAATGTCTGCAAGTATTTACTGTGTGACTGGCTGAACAGTCATGGGGGAAGTGGCCACTGATGGGCACAGGTGACAGGGCAGGTGGGAGAGGTGGAAGTGAGAGGAAGCCTCTGAGCAGTCATCAGGACCTAGATTCTATCATGATTACATAGGTTAACAGAGCTCATTACGCCAGCAAACACACAAACCCTGCGACTTCAAGGCCCCTTTCCTCCCTGCACTGGCTAATTTTCCCTGGCCCAAGATTTTTATTTTATCTTGGAAGCGCAATAAAACATGCTGTTTGCAGCTCTGAAAACTCAGGAGTGCTGCAAAAATCTCTGACAAGACTCTGCAGTTGAAACCAAACAAAATTAAAACCCCAAGCAAACAGAAAGCCGTGCCCTCAAGACCTGCTCTCTGCATGCTGATTTTTCGAAGTTCTTTGTTCCTTACATCCTTCTCATCTACCAGTAGTAAACAATTTCTCCCAAATTAGCAAAACAGCTTCTTGAAAGGCTGCCACAAAAGACTCTGGAGTACCCAGCTGTATTTCTGTTTTTTTCACAGCATGCATGAGCACCCTTCAGATCCCTTCCTAACCAGCTCTCAAAAGATCCCTTCCTATTACAATGGATGGATGACAGAGAAAGACCCATTTTCCATATTAGGCTTCCCTGGGAGTTGAATGTCTATGTATACACTCATTGGCCCCTTGTAGCAGAATCCTTGGCCTCATGTCCAAGGTTGGGCAGGGCCTTGAGCAACCTGGTCTAATGGAAGGTGTCCCTGCCCGTGGCCAGGGTTGGAACTGGATGATCTTAAGTTCCTTTCCAATCCAAACCATTCTATGATTCTGTGACACCACTGAGAGCTTTAAGAACCAAAAAGCCCCCTAAATCAGGGCCAGGATGGCAGCCTGTCCTTGTGAAAGTTACATACCAGTAAAATAAGTAAAATGCTGGAATTGCTCTTCAGAATGGGAAGTAACGGGTTAGCACTGGTCAGCTGATCAGAGCCGCCAAAACCAGCTTCTTCAGTGCCAGTTTGCTTGCGGTCTCCCCAGGAAAACCAGAGGTGGAGGACTTGATGTCCAAATCTCCCCATAAGTTCAGGGTAGCGCAGGAAGAATTTCAGCAGG